GTCAGAGGGAAGGGTGGTTGGGAAGGGTGACAGGGAAGGTGACAGGGAAGGGTGACAGGGAAGGGTGACAGGGAAGGGACACAGGGAAGGGTGACAGGGAAGGTGACAGGGAAGGGTGGCAGGGAAGGGACACAGGGAAGGGACACAGGGAAGGGTGGCAGGGAAGGGACACAGGGAAGGTGACAGGGAAGGGTGACAGGGAAGGGTGACAGGGCAGGGACACAGGGAAGGGACACAGGGAAGGTGACAGGGCAGGGACACAGGGAAGGGACACAGGGAAGGGACACAGGGAAGGTGACAGGGAAGGTGACAGGGAAGGGACACAGGGAAGGTGTATTATATGTATTATTAAATACGTATTATTAATTGTGTATTATGTAATACTAATCATGTTTTATTAATAATGTCCTCTATATTATTAATAATGTGTTATTAAATATATAATATGAATTATTAATTATAATGTGTTGTTAACTATGCATTGTTAGCTATGTATTATGTATTAAATATGCGTTATTAATTATGTTCTATTAAATATGTATCAATTATCTGTTGTGCCTCATTATGTATTATTAAATATGTATTAGTGGTTATGTATTATTAATTATGTATTATTATGTATGGTTATGTATTACTAATTATGTATCATTGAATATGTATTATTAATTATGCGTTAACACGTGTGGTGTATTATTAATTATGTATCATTACTGATGTGTTGTGTATTATTAATTATGTATTATTAAATATATATTGTTAATTATGTGTTATTAATTATGTGTTATTAATGACGTGTGGTGTATTATTAATTATGTATTATTGATGACGTGTTGTGTATTATTATGTATTATTAAATATATATTGTTAATTATGTGTTATTAATTATGCGTTATTAATGACGTGAGGTGTATTATTAATTATGTATTATTAAGTATATATTGTTAATTATGTGTTATTAATTATGAGTTATTAATGACATGTTGTGCATTATTAATTAGGTGTTATTAATGACGTGTTGTGTATTATTAATTATGTATTATTAATAACCTATTGTGTATTATTATGTATTATTAATGATGTGTTGTGCATTATTAATTATGTATTATTAATGACCTATTGTGTATTATTATGTATTATTAATGATGTGTTGTGTATTATTAATTACGTGTTATTAATGACGTGTTGATTATTATCAATTATGTATTAATAATTACATGCTGTGTATTATTAATTTTGTATTATTAATGACATGTGGTGTATTATTAATGATGTATTATTAAATATGTATTGTTAATTATGTGTTATGTATTATTAATTATGTGTCATGAAATATATAATATGAATTATGAATTATTGCGTGTTATTAACTACGTATTGTTAATTATGTATTACGTCTTATTATGTATTATTAAATATGTATTATTAAATATCAAGTTTACATTAATATGTAATTAAATATTTATATAAATATGTATTAATTTTATATTTAATATGTATTAATATTATATTTATATTTATTACTATAAATATATTATATTAATATTTATTGATATAAATCTATTATATTAATATTTATTAATTATTAATATGAATATAAATATGTATATGAATTATTAATGACGTGTTGTGCATTATTAATTATGTGTTATTAAATATATATTATCAATTATGCGTTATTAATGACGTGCTGTATATTATTAATTATGTGTTAAGTATATATTATCAGTTATGCGTTATTAATGACGTGCTGTATATTATTAATTATGTATTATTAAATATCTATTGTTAATTATGTGTTATTAATTATGCATTTTTAATGACGAGTTGTGTATTGTTAATTATGTATTATTAAATAGATATTGTTAATTATGTGATACTAATTATGCATTATTGATGACGTGTTGTGTATTATTAATTATGTATTATTAAATAGATATTGTTAATTATGTCTTATTAATTATGCATTATTAAAGACGTGTTGTGTATTATTATGTATTATTAAATAGATATTGTTAATTATGTGTTATTAATTATGCGTTATTAATGACGTGTTGTGCATTATTAATTATGCATTATTGATGACGTGTTGTGTATTATTAATTATGTATTATTAAATAGATATTGTTAATTATGTGTTATTAATTATGCGTTATTAATGACGTGTTGTGCATTATTAATTATGTATTATTAAATAGATATTGTTAATTATGTGTTATTAATTATGCGTTATTAATGACGTGTTGTGCATTATTAATTATGTATTATTGATGACGAGTTGTGTATTATTAATTATGTATTATTAAATATATATTGTTAATTATGTGTTATTAATTATGCGTTATTAATGACGTGTTGTGCATTATTAATTATGTATTATTAAATATATATTGTTAATTATGTGTTATTAATTATGCGTTATTAATGACGTGTTGTGCATTATTAATTATGTATTATTGATGACGTGTTGTGTATTATTGATTATGTGTTATTAATGACGTGTTGTGTATTATTGATTATGTATTATTAATGACGTGTCGTGTATTATTGATTATGTATTATTAATGACGTGTCGTGTATTATTGATTATGTATTATTAATCACGTGTTGTGTATTATTGATTATGTGTTATTAATGACGTGTCGTGTATTATTGATTATGTATTATTAATGACGTGTCGTGTATTATTGATTATGCGTTATTAATGACGTGTTGTGTATTATTGATTATGTGTTATTAATGACGTGTTGTGTATTATTGATTATGTGTTATTAATGACGTGTCGTGTATTATTGATTATGTATTATTATTGACGTGTCGTGTATTATTGATTATGTATTATTGATGACGTGTCGTGTATTATTGATTATGTATTATTAATGACGTGTTGTGTATTATTGATTATGTATTATTAATGACGTGTGGTGTATTATTGATTAGGTGTTACTAATGACGTGTGGTGTATTATTGATTATGTATTATTAATGACGTGTCGTGTATTATTGATTATGTGTTATTAATTACGTGTTGTGTATTATTGATTATGTATTATTAATGACGTGTTGTGTATTATTGATTATGTATTATTAATGACGTGTTGTGTATTATTGATTATGTATTATTAATTATGTGTTGTGTATTATTGATTATGTATTATTAGTGACGTGTTGTGTATTATTAATTATGTATTATTGATGACGTGTTGTGTATTATTGATTATGTGTTATTAATGACGTGTGGTGTATTATTGATTATGTGTTATTAATAACGTGTGGTGTATTATTGATTATGTGTTATTAATGACGTGTGGTGTATTATTAATTATGTATTATTGATGACGTGTTGTGCATTATTAATTATGTATTATTGATGACGTGTTGTGTATTATTGATTATGTGTTATTAATGACGTGTGGTGTATTATTGATTATGTATTATTAATGACGTGTTGTGTATTATTGATTATGTATTATTAATGACGTGTCGTGTATTATTGATTATGTGTTATTAATGACGTGTGGTGTATTATTGATTATGTGTTATTAATGGCGTGTTGTGTATTATTGATTATGTACTATTAATGACGTGTTGTGTATTATTAATTATGTATTATTAGTGACGTGTTGTGTATTATTAACTATGTGTTATTACTGACGTGTCGTGTATTATTAGTTATTATTAAATCCGCATTTAACCCTAAATGGAGCTCGGCCCCGGTGTCTCCAACAAACCCTTCGCTGCCCCGAGGATCCCAGAGCGGGTCCTTTGTCCCGGGGCTGTTTTTGGGGTTCGGGCCCCACCTCGTCGGCCAGGAAGCGCAGCTTGTGCAGGAAGTTGTGCGCCAGCTTCAGCTTGTCCCGCAGCGTGTGCCGCTTCACCTGCTGCCGCAGCGCCCGCGCCTGCTGCCACAGCCCCTCCTGCGGGAAAAAAACGGGATACGGGGGGCAGGATTCCCGGGCAGGGGCTTCCCGGCGAGGGGGAAACTTCTGGCCGCGTTCAGCCTCCAGGGCAGAGGGTTTGGGGGGTAATTCGGAGTGGAGGAGCCCAAAGACACACCCACACCCCCCCCGGGTGTTTGCCAGGTCTGGGCTGCTGCTTCCCAACCCACCACAGCCTGCCTTGGGAAGGGATCTGGGAGCGCGGAGGGGCTGTGTCACCTCCAGGCAGCTGGAGGAATGGGGGGGACAGGGACAGAGCTGGGGGGGACAGGGACAGAGCTGTGTCACCTCCAGGCAGCTGGAGACAGCGGGATGAGGAATGAGGGGACAGGGATAGAGCTGAGGGGGACAGGGACAGAGCTGTGTCACCTCCAGGCAGCTGGAGACAGCGGGATGAGGAATGGGGGGGACAGGGATAGAGTTGTGTCACCTCCAGGCTGCTGGAGACAGCGGGATGAGGAATGGGGGGGACAGGGATAGAGCTGGGGGGGGACAGGGACAGAGCTGTGTCACCTCCAGGCAGCCGGAGACAGCGGGATGAGGAATGGGGGGGACAGGGATAGAGCTGGGGGGGACAGGGACAGAGCTGTGTCACCTCCAGGCAGCCGGAGACAGCGGGATGAGGAATGGGGGGGACAGGGAAATGGGGGGGACAGGGACAGAGCTGTGTCACCTCCAGGCAGCCGGAGACAGCGGGATGAGGAATGGGGGGGACAGGGACAGAGCTGTGTCACCTCCAGGCAGCTGGAGACAGCGGGATGAGGAATGGGGGGGACAGGGACAGAGCTGTGTCACCTCCAGGCAGAGGAGAGTTTTAATTCAGTTTGGGACAATTTTATATATAAAAATCCCGTATTTTTATTTCTCACACTCCTGTTCCCATCCCATCCCGGTGCCGCTCCCTGTGCCATGTCCTGACTCCCTGTTCCCTGTGCCTGTCCCGCCTCCTTAAAGCTCATCCAGTTCCACTCCAGGGACACCTCCCGCTATCCCAGGTGGCTCCAACCCGGCCTTGGACAATCCCAGGGATCCAGGGGCAGCCACAGCTTCTCTGGGAATTCCAGCCCAGCCCCTCCCCACCCTCCCAGCCGGGAATCCCTTCCCAGTCTCCCATCTCTCCCTGCCCTCTGGCAGTGGGATCCATTCCCGGTGTCCTGTCCCTGCATCCCTCGCCCCCAGTCCCTGTCCCGCTGTCCCGGAGCCCCTCCCGGCTCTGGATCCTCTCACCAGCTCCCGGAGGCAGGAGCGGAGCCTCTCCCTGTCCAGGCGGGTGCGGGACGAGTGCGGCTGCTCCCGGTCAGCCAAGGCCACGAAGCGCCTGGAGGGGGAAAAACCGGGATGGGATTCCCACGGGAAACCCTTCCCCGGGAGGGATGGAAATGTCCCCTGTCCCCTCCCAGAGCTGCAGCACAACCGGGGGCAAGAGGACAGGGAAGGGGACAGGGAAGGGTGGCTGGGAAAGGTGACAGGGAGGGGACAGGGAAGGTGACAGGGAAGGGACACAGGGAAGGGACACAGGGAAGGGACACAGGGAAGGTGACAGGGAAGGGCTGAGGGAAGGGTGACAGGGAAGGGTGACAGGGAAGGGACACAGGGAAGGGTGACAGGGAAGGGTGACAGGGAAGGTGACAGGAAAGGGACACAGGGAAGGGACACAGGGAAGGGACACAGGGAAGGGACACAGGGAAGGGACACAGGGAGGGGATACAGGGAAGGGACACAGGGAAGGGGGAAGGTGACAGGGAAGGTGACAGGGAAGGTGACAGGGAAGGGTGACAGGGAAGGGTGACAGGGAAGGGACACAGAGAAGGGACACAGGGAAGGTGACAGGGAAGGGACACAGGGAAGGGATACAGGGAAGGAACACAGGGAAGGTGACAGGGAAGGGCTGAGGGAAGGGTGACAGGGAAGGGTGAGAGGGAAGGGACACAGGGAAGGGACACAGGGAAGGATGACAGGGAAGGGACACAGGGAGGGGACACAGGGAAGGGACACAGGGAAGGGACACAGGGAAGGGACACAGGGAAGGTGACAGGGAAGGGACACAGGGAAGGTGACAGGGAAGGGACACAGGGAAGGGACACAGGGAAGGGACACAGGGAAGGGTGACAGGGAAGGATGACAGGGAAGGGACACAGGGAAGGGTGACAGGGAAGGGACACAGGGAAGGGTGACAGGGAAGGGTGACAGGGAAAGGTGACAGGGAAGGGCTCAGGGAAGGGTGTCCCCTCATCCCAAGGACAGGGCAGGCTGAGCTGACCCTCCCGGGGGTGGGGCCCTGCCCCGTGCCCCCTGTGCCCCCCGTGTCCCCGTGTCACTCACTGGCAGCCCCCGCTCAGCTCCTCCAGGACCCCTCGGAGCCGCCGCTCCGGGTGCGGCTTCTCCGTCTTGATCATCTCCTGCACGTCGTTGAGTCCTTCCTCCTGCGGAATTCCCAGCGATCGGATCCGGCCCCGGGCTCGGGGCCGTGGGAGAGGCCCCAAACCCCCCGGGATGGACCCTCTGCCCAGCCCGCCCAGCCCCTGCCCGTGGGGAGCTCTCCCAGGGGCTCCTTGGGAATTAACTGGGGCTGGGAATCGGGAAATGATAGGATTTTGGGGTGGGAAGGGACTTGGAAGATCATTTAATTCCCGCACCCTGCTGCGGGCAGGGACAGCTCTCATCATCCCAGGGGGCTTCAACCTTTCCTTGGACACTGCCAGGGATCCAGGGGCAGCCACAGCTTCTCTGGGAATTCCAGCCCAGCCCCTCCCCACCCTCCCAGCCAGGAATCCCTTCCCAGTGTCCCATCTCTCCCTGCCCTCTGGCAGTGGGATCCATTCCCTGTGTCCTGTCCCTCCAGGTCTTGTCCCCAGTCCCTCTCCAGCTCTCCTGGAGCCCCTTCAGGCTCTGGAATGTGCTCCAAGCTCTCCTGGAATCCTTCCCTTCTCCGGGCTGTGCCACATGAGGGGTTCATCCCTCCAGCCCAGGTGACAAACCTCCCCCCGTCCCCTTTGCTGGGGGCACTGGGCTGTGACCCCCGAGGGTTGGGGACACCAGGCTGTGACCCCCAAGGACTGGGGACACTGGGCTGTGACCCCTGAGAACTGGGGACACCGGGCTGTGACCCCTGAGGGTTGGGGACACCAGGCTGTGACCCCTGAGAACTGGGGACACTGGGCTGTGACCCCCAAGGACTGGGGACACCAGGCTGTGACCTCTGAGGATGGGGGACACCAGGCTGTGACCCCTGAGCATTGAGGACACTGGGCTGTGACCCCTGAGAACTGGGGACACCGGGCTGTGACCCCTGAGGGTTGGGGACACCGAGCTGTGACCCCCAAGGACTGGGGACACCGGGCTGTGACCCCCAAGGGTTGGGGACACCAGGCTGTGACCCCTGAGAACTGGGGACACCGGGCTGTGACTCCTGAGGGTTGGGGACACCGAGCTGTGACCCCTGAGGGTTGGGGACACCGAGCTGTGACCCCTGAGGGTTGGGGACACCGAGCTGTGACCCCTGAGAACTGGGGACACTGGGCTGTGACCCCTGAGGGTTGGGGACACCAGGCTGTGACCCCTGAGAACTGGGGACACTGGGCTGTGACCCCCAGAGACCCTGAGGATTGGGGACACCGGGTTGTGAACCCTGAGGGTTGGGGACACCAGGCTGTGACCCCTGAGAACTGGGGACACCAGGCTGTGACCCCTGAGGATTTGGGACACCAGGCTGTGACCCCTGAGGATTGGGGACACTGGGCTGTGACCCCCAGAGACCCTGAGGATTGGGGACACTGGGCTGTGACCCCCAGAGACCCTGAGGATTGGGGACACCGGGCTGTGACCCCCAGAGACCCTGAGGATTGGGGACACCGGGCTGTGACCCCTGAGGACTGGGGACACCAGGCTGTGACCCCCAAGGACTGGGGACACCAGGCTGTGACCCCTGAGGATTGAGGACACTGGGCTGTGACCCCTGAGGATTGAGGACACTGGGCTGTGACCCCCAAGGACTGGGGACACTGGGCTGTGAACCCTGAGGGTTGGGGACACCAAGCTGTGACCCCCAGAGACCCTGAGGGTTGAGGACACCAGGCTGTGACCCCCGAGGATTGGGGACACTGGGCTGTGACCCACCTGGGCCCCGAGGGTTGGGGACACCGGGCTGTGATCCCCAAGGACTGGGGACACCAGGTTGTGACCCCTGAGGGCTGGGGACACCGGGTTGTGACCCACAGGGTCCCTGACAACTGGGGACACTGGACTGTGACCCCTGAGGGTTGGGGACACCAGGCTGTGACCCTGAGGACTGGGGACACCGGGCTGTGACCCACAGGGGCCCCGAGGGTTGGGGACACCAGGCTGTGACCCCCAAGGCCTGGGGACACCAGGCTGTGACCCCCAGAGGCCCCAATGACCTCCTGGGATTTGTCCCCTGAGGCTGGAAACCCCCCCCCCGTTCCCATCCCAGCTCTCCTGGCCGTGCCTGTCCCCGCTGAGTGACCAGGGGGTGGCACAGGCAGCCCAGGCTGTGCCCTGTGCCATGTCCATGCCCTGGCCGTGCCCCCCAACCCTGTGCCCCTCGCACTGACCAGCTTGTCTGCGATCTTGTCCATGATGTTGGAGTTGTAGAGGCGGCGCCGCTGGTCCTGCCACCAGCTCCTGATGTACACGCAGGGCTTGCGCTCCAGGTAGGGCAGGTGGAAGTAGTTCCTGCGGGAGGAGAGGGGAGATGGGGGGGGATCAGAGCCTGAAAAACCTGCGGGTTACAGCCCGAAAATCTGTGGGTTACAGTCTGAAAAACCTGTGGGTTACAGTCTGAAAAATGTGTGGGTTACAGCCTGAAAAACCTGCGGGTTACAACCTGAAAACCTGTGGGTTACAGCCTGAAAATCTGTGGGTTACAGCCTGAAAATGTGTGGGTTACAGCCTGAAAATCTGTGGGTTACAGCCTGAAAAACCTGCAGGTTACAACCTGAAAACCTGTGGGTTACAACCTGAAAACCTGTGGGTTACAGCCTGAAAAACCTGTGGGTTACAACCTGAAAACCTGTGGGTTACAGCCTGAAAAACCTGCGGGTTACAGCCTGAAAAACCTGCGGGTTACAGCCTGAAAACCTGCAGGTTACAGCCTCAAAACCTGTGGAAAAAGGTCCCTCCTGATCCCTCTTTTCTCCGGGATGAGCCCCCCCAGCTCCCTGAGACATTCCTGCTGCTCCAGCCCCTTCCCTGCTCCCTTATTCCCGGTTCTCCAGCCCCTTCCCAGCTCCCTCAGCCATTCCCTGTTCTCCAGCCCCTTCCCAGCTCCCTTATTCCCGGTTCTCCAGCCCCTTCCCAGCTCCCTCGGCCATTCCTGCTCCTCCAGCCCCTTCCCAGCTCCCTCGGCCATTCCTGCTCCTCCAGCCCCTTCCCAGCTCCCTTATTCCAGGTTCTCCAGCCCCTTCCCAGCTCCCTTATTCCCTGTTCTCCAGCCCCTTCCCAGCTCCCTTATTCCCGGTTCTCCAGCCCTTTCCCAGCTCCCTCAGCCATTCCCTGTTCTCCAGCCCCTTCCCAGCTCCTCTTTGCCGAGGGGGAGATCCCTGAAGGGATCCCAGAGCCCGGAGTTCGGGGGCCCACCCGGCTGGGGATGAAGGACGTTCCTGTGCAGGGGTATCCCGGGAGGAGAATTCCCTCTTTCTCCAATGCCCCGGGAACGCTCGGGGGGATTCACGGACCTGTCAGTGACCAGGGGCTTCATGGGTGGGGAGGAGGAGACCGAGACCAGCTCTCCGTCCTCATCCCCCTCCTCCTCGCTGGAATTCTGCAGCAGCTCCGACTCCTCCTCGTCCCCTCCCTCCTTCCTCCTCCTCCGCACGGGCTTGTCCACTCCATCCACCTGGTTGCCATAGTTACCTCAAGGGGAAAAACAACACAGAAAGGTGGAATAAATTCGCAGGGTTGTGACTCCAGCCCGGCCCGGCTTCTGGGATCTGATTCAGTCTGGGACAAGTTTGAATTCAATTTGGGAGAAGAAGTTTTAATTCAGTTTGGGAGAAGAAGTTTGAATTCAGTTTGGGACGAGTTTTAACTCAGTCTGGGACAAGAAGTTTTAAATCAGTTTGGGACGAGTTTTAACTCAGTCTGGGACATGTTTGAATTCAGTTTGGGAGAAGAAGTTTGAATTCCGTTTGGGACAAGTTTTAACTCAGTCTGGGACAAGAAGTTTTAATTCAGTCTGGGACAAGTTTGAATTCAGTCTGGGACAAGTTTGAATTCAGTCTGGGACAAGTTTGAATTCAGTCTGGGACAAGTTTGAATTCAGTCTGGGAGAAGTTTGAATTCAGTTTGGGGCAAGTTTGAATTCAGTCTGGGAGAAGAAGTTTAAATTCAGTTTGGGAGAAGAAGTTTTAATTCAGTTCGGGACAAGTTTTAATTCAGTTTGGGGGAAGAAGTTTGAATTCAGTTTGGGAGAAGAAGTTTGAATTCAGTTTGGGACAAGTTTGAATTCAGTCTGGGACAAGTTTGAATTCAGTCTGGGAGAAGAAGTTTTAGTTCAGTTTGGGAGAAGAAGTTTTAATTCAGTTCGGGACAAGTTTGAATTCAGTTTGGGGCAAGTTTGAATTCAGTCTGGGAGAAGAAGTTTAAATTCAGTTTGGGAGAAGAAGTTTTAATTCAGTTCGGGACAAGTTTTAATTCAGTTTGGGAGAAGAAGTTTGAATTCAGTTTGGGACAAGCTTGAATTCCTTTTGGGACAAGTTTTAACTCAATTTGGGAGAAGAAGTTTGAATTCAGTTTGGGAGAAGAAGTTTGAATTCAGTTTGGGACAAGTTTGAATTCCTTTTGGGACAAGTTTTAACTCAATTTGGGAGAAGAAGTTTGAATTCAGTTTGGGAGAAGAAGTTTGAATTCAGTTTGGGACAAGTTTGAATTCCTTTTGGGACAAGTTTTAACTCAATTTGGGAGAAGAAGTTTTAATTCAGTCTGGGACAAGTTTGAATTCAGTCTGGGACAAGTTTGAATTCCTTTTGGGACAAGTTTGAATTCCTTTTGGGACAAGTTTGAATTCAGTCTGGGAGAAGAAGTTTTAGTTCAGTTTGGGAGAAGAAGTTTTAATTCAGTTCGGGACAAGTTTTAACTCAATTTGGGAGAAGAAGTTTTAATTCAGTCTGGGACAAGTTTGAATTCAGTCTGGGACAAGTTTTAATTCAGTTTGGGACAAGTTTGAATTCAGTCTGGGACAAGTTTTAATTCAGTCTGGGACAAGTTTTAATTCCGTTTGGGACAAGTTTGAAATCAGTTTGGGACAAGTTTGAATTCTGTTTGGGACAAGTTTTAATTCAGTTTGGGACAAGAAGTTTGAATTCAGTCTGGGACAAGTTTGAATTCAGTCTGGGACAAGTTTGAATTCAGTCTGGGACAAGTTTTAATTCCGTTTGGGACAAGTTTGAATTCAGTTTGGGACAAGAAGTTTGAATTCAGTCTGGGACAAGTTTGAATTCAGTCTGGGACACGTTTGAATTCCTTTTGGGACAAGTTTGAAATCAGTCAGTCTGGGTCCCCCCCAGCCCGTGCCCATCCCCTGCTCCCCAAACCCAGAGCCCCGCGTGGGCAGCCGTGGAAAACCGGGAAGAACATCCTTGGATCCCGACCTTCCCGCCAGCCAGGCTTTGGATCAACCCTCCCCCCGCAGCCCCCGGCCCACCTATGGTGACCTCGAAGCTGATGGGCTTGTCCCCCACCCTCCTGTCGATCATGGTGGCCTCCAGGAAGGCCCCGAAGAGGAAGAATTCCTCCATCTTCCCGGTGCAGTTCTGCGGGAGAGAGAAGCCACGGGGATCGGGGGCGGGTGGGGGGACAGGGGGGCACCCCCGGGCACCCTCGGGGGGAGGTGCCACTCCCGGCATTCCAAGGGTTTCCTCTCCCGCCTCTTGGCTCGTTCCAGGGGGTTTAATTAAGGATTTCAGTGGGATGCCTTCTGATTAAGGGACACCTCCCACCATCCGCGGGCACTTGGACACTCCCCGGGATCCAGGGGCAGCCACAGCTTCCCTGGGAAAGCTGTGCCAGGGCCAGGGAAACGATCCCACTCCAACATTCCTTCTGCCAGCATTCCTAAGGAACGTGAGCACTGGAACAAGCCCAGAACCCACAATGGGATGGCTCATTGTCCCTGTCCATCTCCCAACACCTCAAAAAGCTCGGAAGATCACAGAAACCATGGAATGGTTTGGGTTGGAAGGGATCTTAAGGCTCATCCCAGGTTGCTCCAAGCTGGCCTTGGACACTTCCATGGATGGAGCAGCCACAGTTTCCCTGGGAAAGCTGTGCCAGGGCCAGGGAAACGATCCCACTCCAACATTCCTTCTGCCAGCATTCCTAAGGAACCTGAGCACTGGAATGAGCCCAGAACCCGCAGTGAGATGGCTCATTGTCCCTGTCCATCTCCCAACACCTCAAAAAGCTCGGGAGATCACAGAAACCATGGAATGGTTTGGGTTGGAAGGCACCTTAAATCCCATCCCACTCCAACCCCTGCAGGGACACCTCCCACTATCCCAGGTCACTCCAACCCAGCCTTGGACACTTCCAGGGATCCAAGAGCTTCCTGGGAAAGCTGTGCCAGGGCCAGGGAAACGATCCCACTCCAACATTCCTTCTGCCCAGAATTCCTAAGGAACCTGAGCACTGGAACGAGCCCAGAACCCACAGTGAGATGGCTCGTTGTCCCTGTCCATCTCCCAACACCTCAGAGCTCAGGAGATCACAGAAACCATGGAATGGTTTGGGTTGGAAGGGATCTGAAAGCTCATCCCATTCCAAACCCTGCAGGGACACCTCCCACTATCCCTGGGCACTTGGACACACCCAGAGATCCAGGGGCAGCCACAGCTTCCCTGGGAAAGCTGTGCCAGGGCCAGACAAATGATCCCACTCCAACATTCCTTCTGCCAGAATTCCTAAGGAACCTGAGCACTGGAACGAGCCCAGAACCCACTATGGGATGGCTCATTGTCCCTGTCCATCTCCCAACACCTCAAAAAGCTCAGGAGATCACAGAAACCATGGAATGGTTTGGGTTGGAAGGGATCTTAAGGCTCATCCCAGGTTGCTCCAAGCTGGCCTTGGACACTTCCATGGATGGAGCAGCCACAGTTTCCCTGGGAAAGCTGTGCCAGGGCCAGGGAAACGATCCCACTCCAACATTCCTTCTGCCAGAATTCCTAAGGAACCTGAGCACTGGAATGAGCCCAGAACCCGCAGTGAGATGGCTCATTCTCCCTGTCCATCTCCCAACACCTCAAAAAGCTCGGGAGATCACAGAAACCATGGAATGGTTTGGGTTGGAAGGGATCTTAAGGTTCATCCCAGGTTGCTCCAAGCTGGCCTTGGACACTTCCATGGATGGGGCAGCCACAGCTTCCCTGGGAAAGTTGTGCCAGGGCCAGGGAAACGATCCCACTCCAACATTCCTTCTGCCAGAATTCCTAAGGAACCTGAGCACTGGAATGAGCCCAGAACCCACAGTGAGATGGCTCGTTGTCCCTGTCCATCTCCCAACACCTCAGAGCTCAGGAGATCACAGAAACCATGGAATGGTTTGGGTTGGAAGGGATCTGAAAGCTCATCCCACTCCAAACCCTGCAGGGACACCTCCCACTATCCCTGGGCACTTGGACACACCCAGAGATCCAGGGGCAGCCACAGCTTCCCTGGGAAAGCTGTGCCAGGGCCAGACAAATGATCCCACTCCAACATTCCTTCTGCCAGAATTCCTATGGAACCTGAGCACTGGAACGAGCCCAGAACCCACAATGGGATGGCTCATTGTCCCTGTCCATCTCCCAACACCTCAGAGCTCAGGAGATCACAGAAACCATGGAATGGTTTGGGTTGGAAGGGATCCTAAGGTTCATCCCAGGTTGCTCCAAGCTGGCCTTGGACACTTCCATGGATGGAGCAGCCACAGCTTCCCTGGGAAAGCTGTGCCAGGGCCAGGGAAACGATCCCACTCCAACATTCCTTCTGCCAGAATTCCTAAGGAACCTGAGCACTGGAATGAGCCCAGAACCCACAATGGGATGGTTCGTTGTCCCTGCCCATCTCCCAACACCTCAAAAAGCTCGGGAGATCACAGAAACCATGGAATGGTTTGGGTTGGAAGGCACCTTAAATCCCATCCCATTCCAAACCCTGCAGGGACACCTCCCACTATCCCAGGTCGCTCCAACCTGGTCTTGGACAATTCCAGGGTCCCAAGGGCTTCCTGGGAAAGCTGTGCCAGGGCCAGACAAATGATCCCACTCCAACATTCCTTCTGCCAGAATTCCTAAGGAACCTGAGCACTGGAATGAGCCCAGAACCCACAATGGGATGGTTCACTGTCCCTGCCCATCTCCCAACACCTCAAAAAGCTCGGGAGATCAGAGAAACCATGGAATGGTTTGGGTTGGAAGGGATCTGAAAGCTCATCCCATTCCAAACCCTGCAGGGACACCTCCCACTATCCCTGGGCACTTGGACACACCCAGAGATCCAGGGGCAGCCACAGCTTCCCTGGGAAAGCTGTGCCAGGGCCAGGGAAACGATCCCACTCCAACATTCCTTCTGCCCAGAATTCCTAAGGAACCTGAGCACTGGAATGAGCCCAGAACCCGCAGTGAGGTGGCTCATTGTCCCTGTCCATCTCCCAACATCTCAGAGCTCAGGAGATCACAGAAACCATGGAATGGTTTGGGTCAGAAGGCTCCCTAAACCCCATCCCACTCCAACCCCCGCAGGGACAAGCGAGGCCAAAGACAACACCCCCTGAGCCCCAAACTCCCCCCGGGGCAGGACTGACCTCGGCCACGGCCGTGGCCTGTTCCACCTGCACCTCGGTGGAGCCGTTGATCTCGGGGTTGGTGGTGTCCAGGATCTCCACGGCGAGGCCCAGGAGCAGCCGGGCGCGGAAGGAGACGCCTTCCCCCAGCCCCTCGTTGAGCTCCTGGTGCTCGTCCATCAGGGTGTAGTTGCGGGTGGAGCCGTACATGTTCACCCAGGCGGGGCCAAAGGTGGGCAGGAAGCCTGCGGGGGCGCGGAACGGGCGCGGTGAGGCCTCGAGGCCCTTTTTAGGTTTTTTTTTTTTGATTTTCGTGATTTTTATAAGCTTTGCATGTAATCATAGCAGAAGTGGATTTTAGAAGTAGCTGTATTATATTCCTCGCCCTTCAGCACGAGTAGTTTACACGTTCCTCAACCCTCTTAACCCCTTTCCATGTTCCCCAAATCAATCCCATCCCCTGAATTCCAGCAGAAAATGCTCAGTTTTTTTATCAAGGCAGGGCCTCTTCTCTTTGAGGGCATCTAACCCCGAACCACAAGAGAACAGTCAAGAACTGGGTGTGCTCTCTGTGCTCTGAAGAAGATGAAGATGATGAAGAAAAGCCCCCCAGACCCAATTCCCAGGGGATGGGCCAGGGGGGTGGACCAGGGCAAGAGCTACGGGATGGACAAAACTTGGATTGTCAACTTGGGTTGGTTGGGCAGTATTTACAAATTGTAACACCTGAACACGGCCTGCGCGCGCCTCTTGTGATCTTTAGGCCCAGGCACAAATTAAAACCCTTTTCCGGGTGGGAAAAGCCCTCCCAGCCCGTGGATCCCCCCTGTGCCCCATCCCCACCTTGTCACCGAGTGCCACGGCCAGGCCTTCCTGGGACACCTCCAGGGCTGGGCACTCCAAACCTCCCTGGGCAGCCCCTGCCAAGGCCTCACCACCCTTTCCAGCAAGGAATTCCTCCTCCTGGCCAACCTGAGCCTCCCCTGGCACAGCCTGAGGCCGTTCCCTCTCCTCCTGTCCCTCGTTCCCTGGGAATTGGGGACCCTCCTGGAACTTCCTTCCAGGGAATTGTGGGGAGCTGGGACAGCGCCAGGATGGCACAGGATCCTTAGGGATGGTTCAGGTTGGAAAATCCCTTGGAGGTCACGGAATCCAACCATTCCCAGCACTGCCCAGGCCACCCCTGACCCGTGTCCCCAAGGGCCACATCCACAGGGATCCGAAATCCCTCCGGGAATGGCGACTCCAGCCCTGCCCTGGGAAGTTCATTCCAGGGCCTGACAGCCCTTTCCATGTGGGAATTGTTCCCAATATCCCAGCTGAGCCTGCCCTGGCCCAGCTGGAGGCCGTTCCCTCTCCTCCTGTCCCTTGTTCCCTGGGAATTGCGGACCCTTCCCGGCTCCCCCCTCCTGTCAGGGGTTTGTGGGGCAGGAAAAGGTTCCCCCCCTGAGCCTCCTGTTTTTCCAGGGAAGTTTTTCAGGGAAATCAGGGGTTGGACAGATCAGGGCACAGCCCAAGGACACTCAAGTCTCCCATTAATTCCCCACTTTGGGCTCCAAGGAAGAAGAACCTCCCATCGGTGCCTCTCCCAACCCAGCTCTGCTCTCCCAGCTCTGCCCCTGGATTTTGGGGTTGGGGTGGGCGGGGGGGGACCCTCCAGCGCTCGCCCATCAGTGGCAACTCATTTTTTTTGGAAAGGGACCAACTGCTCCTGGTCGTCTTTGCTTCCCGGGATTGCACGGAGGGCTCGGGACAGGGTGGGACAGGGCTCGGTTTTCCTGAGGTCCAGCGAGCCCAGGAGACCCTTCCAGTGGCCCAGAGCCTCTCTGGGTGGGCACCAGCCGTGCCCAGGGGTGGGGAAGGAGCCCGGGGTATTTTGGGAACGCTGCCAAAGGGAAGGAGGCACCCCAGTGTCCCCCCCTCCAGCTTTACCCTTGTCCCCTTCGTTGGAGATCTTCCTCAGGTCGATGAAGTGGGTCCCGATGGCCACGTCGTTGACCTTGTCCGAGTCCCGGATCTGGACCTTGATCCTCTTGCACAGGGGGGGGAACATCTCGGTGAACACGATCTGCTCGTTCCACAGGGGCTCGTAGCTGCTCTTCTGGATGGAGGTCTTGCCCTGGGAGCGGGAGGACACGGAGCCCAGGGCGGGGTTGGGTGTGCCAGGCCAGCCCTCGACACCCGGGCTGCCAGTGCCACCCAGGCTGCCAATGCCACCCGGGCTGCCAGTGCCACCCGGGCTGCCAGTGCCACCCAGGCTGCCAGTGCCACCCGGGCTGCCAGTGCCACCCGGGCTGCCAATGCCACCCAAGCTGCCAATGCCACCCAGGCTGCCAATGCCACCCAGCCACAACGGCCAGGTCCTCCCCCAGGAGAGACAGTGCTGCCCTGGGAGCTGCAAACCCACCCCAGAGAGGGGAAACGGGGAAAACCAGGGGACATCACACACATCCCACCATCCCCAGGACAACCAGGGGACATCACACACATCCCAACATCCCCAGGACAACCGGGGACATCACACACATCCCAACATCTCCAGGATAACAAAGTGACACCACACACATCCCAACATCTCCAGGACAACCAGGGGACACCACACACATCCCAACATCTCCAGGATAACAAAGTGACACCACACACATCCCAACATCTCCAGACAAACCAGGGCACACCACACACATCCCAACATCTCCAGACAAACCAGGGGACACCACACACATCCCAACATCTGCAGGCAAACCAGGGCACACCACACACATCCCAACATCTCCAGACAAACCAGGGGACAACCAGGGGACATCACACACATCCCAACATCTCCAGGACAACCAGGGCACACCACACACATCCCAACATCTCCAGGATAACAAAGTGACACCACACACATCCCAACATCTCCAGACAAACCAGGGGACACCACACACATCCCAACATCTGCAGGCAAACCAGGGGACACCACACACATCCCAACATCTCCAGGACAAACCAGGGGACACCACACACATCCCAACATCCCCAGGACAACCAAGGATAATAAAATGACACCACACACATTCCAACATCTCCAGGACAACCAGGGCACACCACACACATCCCAACATCTCCAGGATAACAAAGTGACACCACACACATCCCAACATCTCCAGGATAACAAAGTGACACCACACACATCCCAACATCTCCAGACAAACCAGGGGACATCACACACATCCCAACATCCCCAGGACAACCGGGGACATCACACACATCCCAATATCCCCAGGACAACCGGGGATATCACACACATCCCAACATCCCCAGGACAACCAAGGATAATAAAATGACACCACACACATCCCAACATCTCCAGGACAACCAGGGGACACCACACACATCCCAACATCTCCAGGATAACAAAGTGACACCACACACATCCCAACATCTCCAGGACAACCAGGGGACATCACACACATCCCAACATCTCCAGACAAACCAGGGGACACCACACACATCCCAACATCTCCAGGACAACCAGGGGACATCACACACATCCCAACATCTCCAGGAGACCAGGGGACACCACACACATCCCAACATCTCCAGACAAACCAGGGCACACCACACACATCCCAACATCTCCAGGATAACAAAGTGACACCACACACATCCCAACATCTCCAGGACAACCAGGGGACATCACACACATCCCAACATCTCCAGGAGACCAGGGGACACCACACACATCCCAACATCTCCAGACAAACCAGGGCACACCACACACATCCCAACATCTCCAGGCAACCAGGCACACCACACAACATCCCGAACATCCTCCAGGACAACCAGGGACATCACAATCACCACATCCCAACACTCCAGGACAACCCAGGATAATAAAATGACACCAACACATCCCACATCGCCAGGACAAACAAGGGGACACCACACACATCACAACATCTCCGGATAACAAAGTGAACACCACACACATCCCAACATCTCCAGGACAACCAGGGGACACCACACACATCCCAACATCTCCAGGACAATCAAGGCAAATAAATTGACACCACACACATCCCAACATCTCCAGACAAACCAGGGGACACCACACACATCCCAACATCTCCAGGCAAACCAGGGCACACCACACACATCCCAACATCTCCAGGACAACCAGGGGACATCACACACATCCCAACATCTCCAGGACAACCCAGGATAATAAAATGACACCACACACATCCCAGCATCCCCAGAACAACCCAGACCCCCCGTACACGGCCGGTCCTGCCCGTGTCCCCTCCCCGTGTCCCCTCCCCGTGTCCCCACCCCATTTTCCCCCCCGGCTCACCTTCTGCCCCGCAAACACCACCTGCACGTAGGGGTCCACCAGGTCCTTGTTCTCCCCGATGAGGGCCTTCTTGACGTTGGCCATGATGCTGGTGTTCATCCTGGGCAGCCCCTCGGCCCGGTACACCTTGACGTAGAAGCGTGCCCACTGCCGCTCCGGGGGCACCCCGTCCGGGAGCAGCAGGTTCCTGGGAATCAGGGGGGTAAAAAAAGGTTGGATTGGGCGACCCTGGAGGGCTCCTCCGACCTTCGGGGTTCCATAAAAGACCCGCCGGGGGGGAGGCCGCCCCGCTCCCCGTGCACCAATCCCGTGGGAATGGGGCGAGTGGGATGTTGGGAGAGTCTCCTTCTCTTTGTCGGGGTCCAGGGGGATTGTTTTGGGGGAAGGAACAGACTCCACCGTGTTTGGTTTTAAGGCACAGGCGGTTTTTCCCTCCTCCGGGGCAAGAAAAGGGCCCGGGGGGAAGGCTGGGAGCCAGAGTTTTTCCAGAGGAATTGCTGGAGCTGCCCCTGGCTGGTGGGAGGTGCCCTTTGGAGCCGGACGAGCTTTAAGATCCCTTCCCACCCAAACCGTTCTTTCATTCCATGAAAAAGTGGGATAACGCCACCACCAGAGCATGGAATGATGGCCCCAAATAGTCCATGGGGTGCCCCAAATAGCCCAGGGGGTGCCCCAAAATAGCCCAGGGGGTGCCCCAAAATAGCCCAGGGGGTGCTCAGAATAGTGCAGGGGGTACCCAATATAGTCCAGGGGGTGCCCAAAATAGTGCAAGGGGTGCCCAGAATAGCCCAGGGGGTGCCCCAAATAGCCCAGGGGGTGCCCAGAATAGTCCAGGGGGTGCTCAAAATAGTCCAGGGGGTGCCCCAAATAGCCCAGGGGGTGCCCAGAATAGCCCAGGGGGTGCCCAGAATAGCCCAGGGGGTGCCCAGAATAGTGCAGGGGGTGCCCAAAATAGTGCAAGGGGTACCCAAAATAGCCCAGGGGGTGCTCAAAATAGTCCAGGGGGTGCCCCAAATAGCCCAGGGGGTGCCCAGAATAGCCCAGGGGATGCCCCGAAATAGTGCAGGGGGTGCTCAAAATAGTGCAAGGGGTGCTCAAAATAGCGCAGGGGGTGCCCCAAATAGCCCAGGGGGTGCTCAAAATAGCCCAGGGGGGTGCCCAAATAGTGCAAGGGGTGTCCAAAATAGTGCAGGGAGTGCCCAAAATAGTCCAGGGGGTGCCCAGAATAGTCCAGGGGGTGCCCAAAATAGCCCAGGGGGTGCCCCAAATAGTGCAGGGGGTGCCCCAAATAGCCCAGGGGGTGCCCCAAATAGCCCCGGGGGTGCCTCGAGCCCCCTCAGGAAGTCAGGAGAGCTGGGCTGGTATTTTTTGCTCCTGGTCTGGGATTCTGATTATTAACAGTTGGACTGGACCTTGGAGGTCATTCCCAACCCGAGCAATTCCAGGATTCCGTGTGGGGAGAGGCTGAGGGGCAGAGTGGAAACTTAATGGCCCTGGAGTGTTCTGGGGCTGGAATCGGCTCTGGAAGTCTCCTGATTTTTTTTTTCGGGACTTTGGTGGGTTTTTTTTTTTCCTGGGGTTTGGTTCCACCCTTTGGGGAGCTCTGGGAAGTTGAAGGTCCTGAAGGAAAAACCTCATCCAGACGTCACTCTGCTTTTCCTGGCTGGTGATGAAACCCCGTCCTATCCCATCCCATCCCAGCCCATCCCATCCCAGCCCATCCCAGCCCATCCCATCCCATCCCAATCCCATCCCATCCCAAACCACATTCCCACCCAAGGACCTGCACCAGGACCTGTGTCCTGCCCCATTCTGACTGACAGGAGGGACAGGGCTGTGCCTGCTGTGCCTGTCCCCACACCAGGACCTGTGTCCCCTCAGTTCTGACTGACAGGAGGGACAGGGCTGTGCCTGCTGTCACTGGGACCAACACCAGGACCTGTGTCCCCTCAGTTCTGACTGTCAGGAGGGACAGGGCTGTGCCTGTCCCCACACCAGGACCTGTGTCCCCTCAGTTCTGACTGTCAGGAGGGACAGGGCTGTGCCTGCTGTCACTGGGACCAGCACCAGGACCTGTGTCCCCTCAGTTCTGACTGTCAGGCGGGACACTGTCAGGAGGGACTGCCAGGAGGGGGCTGTGCCTGCTGTCACTGGGACCAGCACCAGGACCTGTGTGTCCAGTTCTGACTGACAGGAGGGACAGGGCTGTGCCTGCTGTCACTGGGACCCAGCACCAGGACCTGTGTTCTGCCCCATTCTGACTGACAGGAGGGACAGGGCTGTGCCTGCTGTGCCTGTCCCCACACCAGGACCTGTGTGTCCAGTTCTGACTGACAGGAGGGACAGGGCTGTGCCTGCTGTCACTGTCCCCACACCAGGACCTGTGTCCCCCCAGTTCAGACTGTCAGGAGGGACAGGGCTGTGCCTGCTGTCACTGTCCCCACACCAGGACCTGTGTCCCCTCAGTTCTGACTGTCAGGAGGGACAGGGCTGTGCCTGCTGTCACTGGGACCAACACCAGGACCTGTGTCCCCCCAGTTCTGACTGTCAGGAGGGACAGGGCTGTGCCTGCTGTGCCTGTCCCCACACCAGGACCTGTGTCCCCTCAGTTCTGACTGTCAGGAGGGACAGGGCTGTGCCTGCTGTCACTGGGACCAACACCAGGACCTGTGTCCCCTCAGTTCTGACTGACAGGAGGGACAGGGCTGTGCCTGCTGTCACTGGGACCAGCACCAGGACCTGTGTGTCCAGTTCTGACTGACAGGAGGGACAGGGCTGTGCCTCCTGTCACTGGGACCAGCACCAGGACCTGTGTTCTGCCCCATTCTGACTGACAGGAGGGACAGGGCTGTGCCTGCTGTGCCTGTCCCCACACCAGGACCTGTGTGTCCAGTTCTGACTGACAGGAGGGACAGGGCTGTGCCTGCTGTCACTGTCCCCACACCAGGACCTGTGTCCCCCCAGTTCAGACTGTCAGGAGGGACAGGGCTGTGCCTGCTGTCACTGTCCCCACACCAGGACCTGTGTCCTGCCCAGTTCTGACTGTCAGGAGGGACAGGGCTGTGCCTGCTGTGCCTGTCCCCACACCAGGACCTGTGTCCCCCCAGTTCTGACTGTCAGGAGGGACAGGGCTGTGCCTGTTGTCACTGGGACCAGCACCAGGACCTGTGTGTCCAGTTCTGACTGACAGGAGGGACAGGGCTGTGCCTGCTGTCACTGTCCCCACACCAGGACCTGTGTCCTGCCCCTGGAGACACCAGGGGTGGCTTGGCCCCAATCCTGGGGGGAAGGGTCAGGAAAATCCGCCCCCAGCGGGGTCTGGGCGGCCCCCGGAGCCTCCTCACCCCTCGATGTCGTCCTCGTCCGTCTCGTTGGCCTTGTGGGGGGTCTTGATGTTGTCCCCCTTGCCCACCACGGCGATGTCACACTTGAGGTAGCCCTTGAGCCCCGCCGTGAGGTCCTCGGGGTCCGACAGGATGGCCCACTTGTGGTAGAACTGGTGCTCTGCAAGAGGGGACACGGGGGGGTGAGAGGGGACACGGGGGGTCAGAGGGGACAAAAGGGACACTGGGGGTGAGAGGGGACACTGGGGACAAAATGGGACACTGAGGACAAAAAGGACACTGGGGACGAGAGGGGACACGGGGGACGAGAGGGGACACTGGGGGTCAGAGGGGACACTGGGGGTCAGAGGGGACACGGGGGGTGAGAGGGGACAAAAGGGACACTGGGGACGAGAGGGGACACTGGGGACACTGAGGACATTGGGGGTGAGAGGGGACACTGGGGACAAAAGGGGACATTGGGGACAAAAGGGACACTGGGGACAAAAGGGGACAGTGGGGGTGAGAGGGGAACACTGGGAGTGAGAGGGGACACTGGGGGTGAGAGGGGACAAAAGGGACACTGGGGGTGAGAGGGGACACTGGGGACGAGAGGGGAACACTGGGGGTGCGAGGGGAACACTGGGGGTGAGAGGGGACACTGGGGACGAGAGGGGACACTGGGGACACAATGAGACACCGGGGACGAGAGGGG